GGGGGGGGGGGACGGTAGACAGAGGAGGAAAGAAGTTCACCACTATATGTACCAGAAAATTACATTTGCTCTGACTTCTGCTTTGATTCGTTAACAGTGTACATTTATAGATGTATGTGTGTGAAAGATCAAAATTAAGGTGCTGAGGAGAAGATATTAGAATGACAGAGAATTTGTTTCAGATCTGAGACCACTGGATGCCCTCTATCTTCTGACGATAATCACCGAGAGACTGAGTGAGGTGGAAATGCACAGTTATGGCTTCTTGTGTTTAGGAAAGAAGCCCGAAGTGGACCTGGGCAATCCCTCAAATCCAATTTGCACCCAAATTGTCCAGTAAGATATACAAAGCCTCATCCAGGGACTTCCAACTTACAAAATACTATGTCCAAGAACCCCCTCCCCCTCCATTTCATCTAGTAGCAGTTCTAAAAAGCAGCCATTGCTGAGACAAATGTGGGCTGCTGAATAAACAGTGCATGTTTTGTTCAACAAGCCTACCCCCACACCTATATATGGCACTCTATCTCACCACAAAGTCCAATTAAAATTATTAACAGGAATTCAAACTCACTTCACCCAAAATTGCAAATGACCTTTTTCATTAGGGAACCCAGATCTTTAATATGATCACAGTAAACTATAATCTATATTCCTACACAAATATCCTATTTGGGGAAACTTGCATTCATGAAATCCTTAAAATAATATAACACATTCTTAATTTGCATGCAAAAATTTTTCTAGTCAATATAAGCTCCTGGCACTTGAAATCAGATTATTTCAGCTCCCATTAGCAGACTCCAATTCTTGCTGTTTGAAAGTAAACAGAAGGAAAACTTATTTCCACCTGCTAAAATTTCATGCAGGATTACAAAAACAATGCACACTCAGCTTTGACCTAAGAAACACCTTCAAACATTAAAAATTCATCAGTCAGGGCTGGTGTTGTATTCAAGGAATGCTCCTCCAGTTTGCTGCTGAGCTTGGATTTGAATAAAATGCCCAATGTTAACAAACAATACCCACGTTTGGCACTTTGTGTATTAAATTGATCAAACAGATTTTAGGAGGCACAATGCACAATTTGTACAGACCTGATTGAGTTAATATAATATCAGCAAATTTTACATCGAAATGATTCTGTTTCTTTTCTTTGTGTTTAAAACCAGCACAGATTACAAATTTTAATGATCTGAAAATGTTTGGTATACAAAATCATGCTTATTTCAGTATTAGCAAAAACACAAGAAATTTTTCAACACAAACACCCAGCTGTGTCTATTTTAAAAGCAGTTCAATGACAGCTTGCACTTATGAGCATGCAATCAGCTAATTTCGCTTTTTTTTTTCTTCTGTGTTAATCAACACTTTCCTTCCTGCATATCAGAGTACAAATAGTATAGTTACTCCACATCAGTAAATGTTTACGTAACCTGTCCTTTCCCAAGAATCCGGTTACACCGAATCATTTCACGCTAGACTGACTACGAAAACGCACCGGGCCGTCCACCTCAGAGGGAGCCCTTGTGTGCCATTATGAGTGGCGCAGGGAAGGGGGGCCGTGGGAGGGGGAGAGAATGGGGGGGAGTAGGTGGAGGGATGGAGAGAGGGAGAGAAATGGGGGAGAAGGGTGGGGGAGTGCGGAGAGTGAGGAGGGAGGTGGAAGAGGGGAGGGGGAAGGAAAGCCAGTTGAGGAAAAGTGGGAACAACAGTCCTGAAGAGGGGAGCAGAGTGGGAGGAGGAAAGGCGAACGGAGAAGGAAGGCCCAGGGATCTCTCCAGCCTGGTCCAAGAAGCCCATTAGCTCGCCGGGCTCTGCAAGAAATCTGAGCTTAGCAGTCAATGCCGGGGGCCACGCCACTATCCACACTGATAGCGGACGCCCCTGGATTTTCCCACGCGTGTACGTATAGGTTGTTTTAAAGTAAGAAAACACGTAGAAATAGAGGGGAAACACATACGTGCAGTGGAAGGGCAGTCCAGTGTTCAAAGCCCCTGTGTGGCATTCCTAACAGAAACATTTGAAACTCACTGCCTGTTCTGCAATTGTTTTTCTCTTCGGAACCTATGCCCTCAGAATTTCACGGTGCGGGTGGGGCGCGAGGAACGGAGCGACTCCCTGTTAATCTGAGCATTCACGGAGTGCGTTCTGTACATAGGGAGCGAGACTGAACGTCACGCCACTGTTTTTCTTTCTTCCTTGTCTTAAATACCACATCTGCCACGTAACTCGAGCGCTCCTCGAAGGGAAATGTTCCCACGGCGGTATTTGCCTCGCCGAGGCGGAAAACGGGTCCTTCCCGCTCGCGCCCCTCCTCGCCCCGCTCCCCCGGGGCCGCGCGTCCGCGCAGCGGGGTCCCGCGCCCGTGTGGGGTGCGACAGCCTCGCACCGGTGCGCTTCGGACCAATTCCAGTGCCTGGGATATGCTGGGTCTTAGCCCTGCCCCTGGCCACGGGATCCTTTTAAAGCCCCCAAGTCGCAGTCTCCCCTCTCACTGCAGCCCTCCGCCGAACCTCCCCGGCGCTGCCGCCCGAGGAGCGGGGGGGCGGCGCGCCGTCCCCGCGGCGCCCGGGTGCCTCCCAGCAGCAGTCGGGGTGCGAGAGGGCTGGCTTCAGCCCGCGGCTATTTCGGGATGCAGGCTTGCACAAATTAAAAGCATTTCAGGCGCGGAAAGGACAGAGTGAAAATAGGAAGGCTTTAAAAAACCGGAAAGAAATAGACGCCCACCCTTATTTTCCCTCCAATGCCAACAAGCGAAATGAAAACATTTCCAGGGTGAGCGCTCGCGGCCACTCGCCTCCGATTCGGATTAGAAGCAGAAGGGACGCCGGAGCGGCGAGGACGGAACAGCGGGTCGCCCGGCGCGCGAGCGACGGTCTGGAGCAGGACAGAGGGGAAGCGAGGGACACACAGACACAGCATGTGTTACCTGGTTTATTTCGAGATTGTTTGGCATTGTTTTCTCTCTGAACACCCCTCATTTCGGAC